GAATCTGGCAAAGCCGTCGTGTCCTTCAACTTGAGGTTCACTAACATCGAAAGGCATGTCCATAAGACGTTCTTCTTCTAACCTCTCTAGTCTGTTTGGATAATTGGCACGTGCTGTTTCCAAATCCATTTCGTAGCGAAGACCAGACAATTTGTCATAGACTTTTATGGTCTTCCCTTCCTATATTTAAAATTCTTCGAAACTCTCCAACCATATCTTTGCAACTCTGCTTTTATTCTAGCAGACTTTCTGTCCATTCTATATGGGGGCATTTTTATAAAAATAAAAAAATGTTTTTTTTTTCTTTACTTTACATAACCGCCTGCTACCATAAGTCTTTGACGCCAACCCATACCAGCTAATGAAGGTTGACTTGGTTTAGTTTGGAAACTAAACTTTGGTTTTGGTTTATCTTCAGTTTTTGTTTTTTCTTCTTCTATCGGTTTTTCGTCACTTTTCGGTTCCTCTGACTTTACTTCACTTGCAGGAACAGTTGTGTCGTCAACATCTTCATAAATATCATATGCCATTTGTTTTTGTTTTCCTTTCAACTTTTTGTGTTTGTTGTAAAGTTTAGAATATTTCGACTCTAAGTCAATGAGATGTTCTATAATGAACTGTTGGTCAGTGAAGTAAACTTTTCCATCTGTTGTCTCGAAAGCTCCTTCAGACTTCAATATTTTATTTGTGAGAGTCTGTTTCTTTTTTGAGATACTAGCCGTTCCATTTCTATGAAAAGTGACTTTATAGTTAGGGTTTGTATTTCCAGACCTGGCACTTTCTATTATTGAATTTTTCTCTTCATCTGTAAGTTCTTTGACAGGTTTTGACAATGGTTCTGAACTTTTTGTTTGTGGTGTCAAATCTACCGTTTCAACTTCTTCGGTCATTTCATCTCAGTAAAAAATTTTAGTTTGGTTTGTTTTCAACTGGTTGTTTAGGTTTTTTTAAGTCGGTCTAAAACTTCCTGAGGTATAGGAAGAACTTTACAAACACGTGGTGTAACTGCTGGAAGCCGACAAATCCATCTTGAACTCATTTGTCTCAATGCTGTATTGTTCATTTCATCTCAGTAAAAAAATTTACATTCCCACGTTTGAGGCGGTTGAGGTTGGTTATTGTTTACCCCACTGTTGTGCATGGTTATATCCTCTGTTAAAGAATCTTTCACCTTGTCCATATAGTTCCTGCTTGGTTATAGTAGTCATTTGCTTTGTTATAATAGTTTCCTGCTTGTCTTCCTACATTGTCCATCCATCCTTGAACTTTTCCTCTTGTTTCAGATTTGGAATAAGATTTGTTGCATCTCGTGCACATCCCAACCTTTCTGTACAGTTTGTATAATAGGTTGTGCTTTCTCTTTAAGTATACCTAATGTACTCAAAATCTTCCTTCCAATTCCAAATGCACCTCTGGCTATTGTTCCAACTGCGGGTAAAAATCTAGATGCGACTCCTGCTAATGCGCCAAATAAACCCATTTCTTATAGGGTAAAAAATGACGAATCCAAACAAGAACCCCTATGTTTCTAAAGCGACAAAGAAAGCACTCATGATAAAAATCTTTAGTTCAACACCAAATGCTTGGTTTATGGATATCTTGGAAAACATTCCGAGAGTTAGAACAGATGGACCTCCATACTGGTTAATATTTGTTGGTCAAAACACAAGATACTGTTGAGCCATACCATTATGGTCCAAAAATATTTTAGATGTGAAAACTGCTTTGACAATATTCGTTGACAAATACCATCCAACAAAACCGACATCTGACTGTGAAAGTTCTTTCAAATCAGATGATGTAAAAAACTATCTGCGTTCAAAAAATGTAAACCAATATTTCATTGTCGACCAAAACCATTCTGCTCTTGGTGTCATTGACGGTTGTATAAAAATGTTAAGAGACTTAAACCAACCACAAGGTGGTGAAGCAAATGAAATGTCATATGACGACAAATATAGACACTTCTCCATGGCAAAGATGAGACAAGTTTTAAATATTTACAATAACCGTAAACAAAAAGGTTTGGGAAACCACTCCCCGAAGAAATGAAAAACAACCCTGACTTAGAGAAAGACTATATATTTAATAATTTAGTCAAAAGAGACAAACAAGAAAGAATGCCGGGCTTCAAACTTCAGAAAGGTGACAAAGTAAAAATAGAAATACCTAAACGCGACCCATATGAAAATACTATTGACTATGACAACAATGGGAACCCGACAGGTACTCACATTCGTGTTCGTAAAAATAGAAGAAAGTATACAAGAGAATATTATGAAGTTTTAGGCAAACATGGCAAAATGTACACACTGCAAGCAGAAGATAAAACTACTATTGCCAGACCTCGTTTCAAACTTGTCAAAGTTCAAGGTGGTATACTTTCAAAGACAGTTCCTAACAAATATAAGACAACTCCTGACGAATATGCTAAAGAAGTTGAAAATGACGACTAAGCAATTCTATACCATGCGTAAACTGTCATGTAAGGTGGCATGTATTCTTTACTTTGTCCCGTTGTTTGTGTATATCCTGAAACGAAATGTGTATGGTTTCCTTCTCCCTGAGTGTCACTCCAGTAACAATTTATAGCAAACTTAACGTCGTCTTTAACATCATATCCTTTACCTTTTGTCATTCCTGACCAATCCCAATATCTATGCTTATGCCAACCTGCTTGAGATGTACTTAAATCTATGTAGTGACTGTGTGCAGGTAAATTTTCACCTGAAATCGTTTTACTTCCACCTGTTTCCTTTGAAGAGTTTGCACAATACAAAAACCTGTCGACTATTTGTTCCCATGCACCAACACCAAACATTACTTGAGGACCTCTTGCTTCCATAGATGTATAAATAGAACCTATGGGTTCATTAAATCAAACATATGAGATATTATAGGATTGTCTCTCTTTGAACTTAAAATATAGTGCAACATTTCAGGTTTCTTCTGGTTTGTGTCAGAATATTTTTTATAATATAATCTTATGTTTTCAGGTAGGTAAAATCTTGACTATAATATTTATTTCTGTCGTCTGTATAATAATATAATATTCTCGTTTTTCTATTGCATTATATCTTTTATATCTATAATAATCTAAATATAATGTTAGCTTTTGTTCATCTACATGTGGTGTTCTGTCGTCATCTCCATAGTCATAATAATATGGTGCTGGAGCTGGGTCAGGCAATGTCATATCTGCCATTTCATAAACTCTTAAATATTTCTTTTGTTCGTCTCCATATAAGTTTAAGTAGCAGTTGTTGTCTAATGAACTTTAACTTGTGTACCATTATTCTTTTTTAGCTTACATACATTTCATTGTTATTTTTCGGAATGAGTTTTATACCGTGTACCATTTTCTAAGGACTGTACCAACTGCCATCTAAAATATTTATTTTCTTCATTGACAGAAAAGTCACCAACAATAGTTTCAATATTTTTTGTTCCTATCAAACTTTGGTATATTTCATTGACATATGTTTTATCTGCTTTATTTTCAAGGCTAACGTTTAAGTTTGAATATCAGATATAGAATGTGTATGTCCAACGTCACTTTTCCTGTTTAAGGTTTCTTGTAAGTTTGTAATATCAGATATAGAATGTGTATGTCCAACGTCACTTTTCCTGTTTAAGGTTTCTTGTAAGTTTGTAATATTGCAATGTATGTGTATGTCCAACGTCACTTTTCCTGTTTAAGGTTTCTTGTAAGTTTTAATATCAGATATAGAATGTGTATGAGACTTATCTGCTTTTGTCTCTAATGTTTCCTTAAGGACTTGTATTTGGTTAATAATGTATATGAGTCTTTTTAGAATATTCGTTTTCAGCTCTTGTCACTTCACTTGACATTTTATTGTACATATGTTTGTCTGCTAGTTCAGATGAGTATGTTCTTTTTTGGCATAAGCATTGTAGCTCTTCTTCTTCTTTTGCTATTGCATCGTCTACATATTCTTTGTCAGCTTTGTTGTCAACATCTGCTTTCAAAAGAAGTTCATTTATAGGGTTTCTCTTTAAAGTTCCTTTTGTTGGATTTATACAGACAGTATTGTTCTTATTGTTCTTGAAATAGAAACTCATCTGTCATTGGGTTTATGTCAGTTTTAAGTTTCCTTCTTTCAATGACTCAGATATCTTAGAATAGTTTGAAAAGTTTGTTGTGTTCTTATTTAGAGCTTGCATAATGAGTTGTCGGTTGTGTTGTATTTCTCTCATAGACGCTGTTTCATTTGACATTTTTATTATAGATAAAATATGCTTCCAATAGAAAAAGAAAATTCTAGAGTTGCTACAACTAAACCATTAGATGAACTTTTTACTAATGTCGGTCAAAAGTTTGAGACAGATACCGTAAAGCATGAAGGCTATCGTTTTGACTACCCATTAAGATGGTTAAGAAACCCATCCGTCACAAAAGCTATTGGCTTTCGTAGAATAAAGTTCATTTCAGAAGCCATACATGGTTTCCCATTTACGGTCGGTTTTGAAGTTCGATACTATAACAAAGAAAAACGTATGTATGAGAAATTTGAACAGGGAAAACTTTTACAAGTTAGTTTGCTTGTAAACTTAGAAACAACTCTTCAAGCTTTTCAAGAAAAAATAAACGATATCTATATCGAATATGCAAACCAGTATAACATTGACGAAGGAGAATACCATCTCGATATTATTTATGACAGGAAAAATGCAACTGTTAAAATCAATAAAATAGAAGACCTTGGAGAAAACGTTTATATTTCTACAAAATATAACAACTTGGCATGGTATAGATTTATGAGGATGTTAAATCAGCCTGCAGCATATCCAGTACACCCGGACTATTATGAAGTCGAAAAACCTAATGGAACATATGAAAATATTTTCGACCCAGATGCTATTATTGTTCATGCTTCATTTTCTGGTGCGCAAAACTCTTTCTTATGTCTGATGAATGACTTTTACGAAAAACCTACAAAGTTATATGAACCACCGAGTGGAAGTATTTCAGACTTTCAAGTATGGTTTACTACAGATGGAAGAAAAAGAATAATTCCATTATACCATGCGTTTTACTTAGAACTTAGTTTCATATACAACTACTATCGAACGATAAAAATATAATTTTTTAATACGGTTGAGGTGTTGGATTTGGTTGCCAACTAGACTGTGGTGCAGGTTCAGGCTGTTGTATAACAGGAGCTTGTTCTTCTGGTTCAGGGTCTTTAGGTATAATACCAACAAACTGACCTACTCTTTTACCAATATTTTTGACTCCGTTCCAAATTCCTTTTCCGATAGATTTTATTCCATTCCATATACCTCTTCCAACTCTTCTGAAGAAGTTTCCAATACTACTGAAGAAACCCATTTTACTACGTGTAAAAATCTAATGTCCGCCTAGTCTCTTACGTTTCCTGTTGAGTTCCATAGCATTCTTTAACTGGAGCTCATACATTCTGTTTCTCCTCTGGTAGAAAACATATTCTGGGTCAACTCCTGTGTTCGCGTCATCTGCATAAAGTTGTTTATATTCCACTTCAGGGTTTGTATAAAACTCTTTCCATCTCATATTTGCATACCATGGTGGCAAACCTAACGCAGCGTCATTTGACATGGCAGTTTGCATTTGTACATCTGTTGGCACTTGACCATAGTTTGCCATTGCAGTTTGTATTCTAACTTCATTTGGAATATTCTCTGGGTTTGGTTGTCCAGGTTGCTGTGCATTCGCTAAGTTCTGTGCGTCCATTTAATATTAGATAAAAATATCTCTTACGAGTACATATACTGAACATTTGCAGGCATTGGTTCATCTTCATATTCTCTGTACTTTTCTGCCACGTCAAATAAATAAATGACACAATGGAAAAACCTAAAACAACAATCCGATTTCAAACCACATTTACTTACTAATAAAATTTCTTTTTATGGACACTTTCTCCGGTTTATAGGACCTCTCTCATATTCTATCTTGTCATATCTAAACTCATAGTCATGTATGTCCTCTAACCATCTCATAACGGTTTCCAAACCACTTTTATCGGATGTAAAGTAAAAGCATGGATGGTTATGTATAACGTCTAAAGTTTCTAAAGAGTCTCTCAAAGTCCAGTCTACTTGGTATTGAAAATCCCATGTGTTATAGAACGGCGGGTCCACTATAAAGAAACATTTTCCTTGTCTTTATATTTTTCATACAACGCTGTCCAATGACATCTCACAAACTCTATACCCTCAATATATTTTTCTATGTTCTCTTTGAAAACATTTGTATAGTTAAGATATAAAACTTTTGACATAAGTGTTTCAATGTCATGAACTCTTATAGCACCACTATATAATAGTCTAGCAGATATACTATCCCAGTCTATATATTCTGCTTTTTTCAAAACCTCTCTCACAATATTTTTCTTATCTAATGGTATACGTTCCATCTTACCTATAGGTATCTTTTCTTTTAACTCTTTCAATATATTGTTTGTGTCTGGAATATGTTTGAGACGGTCCATATAGTTGTCGAAGTCATTGCATATAATCTTTGAGTCAGGAAATACGGTATGACATAAATGGGATATATAGAAACTTCCACTGAACAAATCTACAAATGTTAGACCATTCGGTAGTTTCTTAAGTTCTCTCAATATAATATCTTTACATCTACTCTTATTTCCAAAGAACGGTAACGGTGGTTTTGTAAAATTCATTTATATATAATAATAAAAATGTTTTTACCCGAAAAGTGACAGAAAAGTGACAAAACATGAAAACATATATAATTTGTGAAAAGCGACACATTATATAATGTTTTCGACCCAGAAGACTAACAATTTTCCGAATAAAAACTTCATTTATACTAAACATCTTCGGGGCTAGAGGGCGCAACGCGCCTGGAAGCCCTCCGAATATAAACTTCATTTATACTAAACATCTTCAGGGCTAGAGGGCGCAACGCGCCTGGAAGCCCTCCGAATATAAACTTCATTTATACTAAACATCTTCAGGGCTAGAGGGCGCAACGCGCCTGGAAGCCCCACTACCTTTTTTTATAGCAGTTAAAGGCAAACACAAATTTTAGCTAAAAGTGACAGGGGAAAAAAACGTTTAGTATTAAAAAAAAGACCGATGAGAGCTTCGTTCGAAATATAGAGGGAACTGAGAATGCGCAACCATTCTCAGGGAATATTGGATGCTATTCCCGTTCCCTCTGTATGGAAAATTGAGGTTTTCAAAGGGAGTTAAAATAATATCAAATTTATACTAATTTACTCCAAAATACAAAAGTATTTGACAGCTAAAATTAGTTACTTTAGCAAGCTTATCAATACCCTTTTACGATTATTGTTACTTTTTCGAAATAAAAGTAAAAACAAATTTATACTAATTTACTTCAAAATACAAAAGTATTTGACAGCTAAAATTAGTTACTTTAGCAAGCCTATCAATACCCTTTTACGATTATTGTTACTTTTTCGAAATAAAAGTAAAAACAAATTTATACTAATTTACTTCAAAATACAAAAGTATTTGACAGCTAAAATTAGTTACTTTAGCAAGCTTATCAATACCCTTTTACGATTATTGTTACTTTTTCGAAATAAAAGTAAAAACAAATTTATACTAATTTACTTCAAAATACAAAAGTATTTGACAGCTAAAATTAGTTACTTTAGCAAGCCTATCAATACCCTTTTACGATTATTGCTACTTTTTCGAAATAAAATAAATTTATTATCAAAAACTTTTTTTTTCTTAGTAAAAATAAAAATGTTATTTTATATCAAGTTGTATAAATTTGAAGGTGGAAATCTGTAATAATTTTATCTTGAAAAGACTTGGCATTCTCAACAATGAATTGAGGGGTATTGCATCCAAATTCTGTAATTTGCGTGAGAATACTAAGCTTGATTTCCATTGGGATACTTAATTTCGAAAAATACTGGGTCATTCGTTTTTGAACCTTTGCTGCCTTGACAACTTTATCAAGTAGGTCATCTAAACCTAATTGAAGCGTATTTAAGTTTGCTGATGAGTTAACTATTAACGATTTAATTTTATCAGTGAGCATTATACATTTTTCTGTATCCAGTCTGATTGTATACTTTTTTGGCTTTTTTTCAGATGGCAACGGATTTGGAATTTTGTCTCTGAGCCTTATATCTTGAGAAATTCTGTAATAAAATGAAGGAACGATAAAATCGATTAATTTCATCACAAATCGATCAAATCTCATGAAAATTGTTCCGCCAAAGTAGTAATATTTAATTTTTTTGTTAATCGATTCTGAAATGTTATTTGTGAGAGCTAAATTTTCATCTCTTTCAGCGGCTGTCCATCTTTCTTGGTTTGATATCCATTGATTTGTATGTATTTTGAAAATTCTGGGAATTTTCGGCTATTTCCAGAATTTTTTTTGAACGTTGGTTCAATCCATTCTTTCTTGCCATTTCTGCCGTATGCAAGATAGTTCATTTTTGTATCTAATATCAATTTGTCTGAACTCTCAAATGCATAATCTTTTTAAATTTTTTCTGAACGCCCTCATTACATGAACTGCACACCAATGAAGGATAACTTTTGAAAAGAGTTGATAATCGCATTTTCGATTTCTTGTGACAATCTGTTTTTACTTTTGCCCATACTTTTGCCCAGTTAAAAAATGCCTTGAGACAGAATGCAATATTTTCTGAAGTGTTTGGATAAACGACAAATTGAAAAATTGGGAATGCATGTGTATTTGGAAATTTGGCTGATATCATGTAAAACAACATTTTAAATTCAAGTAATGAATGGGTTGCATCAATAAAATGCTCTTTCACAATTTTGATTATGTCCAGAAATTTGAAAGAAGCATAATAAAAGATTAATTTCTTTGGTTTGTTGTAATTATCGACATCGAAATAAATTAAATCTTTTGGTGACTCTTGTTCTTTGATACCCTTATATAATTGAGTTGACTTGAATTGATTATCATCGTACTTTTGAATAGAGGGGGCACAAACTTGCTCAGTGAGGTGAAGTGAAAAGTGACAGGTTTACATGTCAGAAATGTAAAGTGCTAGATTTGAAACAAAAAATGGATTAATTTATTATTATATGATAGAGAGATTTGGTAAGTTACTATAGGGTGTCCAAAGGTGCGTTTAGCACAGCGCTCTATATGAGACTATTAAAGGAGATATATGCTGATTATAAATATATAATAAAAAATATGAATATATGTATATGATGAGTATGTTGTATTTTGGCGCCATGCCGGGATATAAAATGAATTTTGAGACAAGAGGCGGTTTCGCGGGAAATTTTGGCGGGATTTTTTTTCATTTTTTAATGAATCATAAAGAAAACATCCTGGCTCTTGCAAAAAAATGCAAAGACTGTAAAAAATCTACGAGACATTGGTAAAATGCTTCGGTATGGATGCTCCTAGCTATTCCATTGTAACGTATCATGTTAGGATGTATCACTTCATGAACAAAAAGGCGCCCATCATAAAAATTGACAAAAAATCGCCGGATCAAAGAAAAATCAAAGCAATTCTTCAAGCGCTAGATGAAGACCCAAGAGCATCACTCAGAAGGATAGAGGAGATGACAAAGATACCACGTACAACAGTCAGTTATTATCTGCATAATTATTTGAACTACAAACTAGCGTATACACGTTGGGTTCCGCACAACCTTAATTCAGTTCAAAAAAAATCTAGAGTCCAATCTTCGAAAGAGCTCCTCTCTATATTGGGTGCGTATCAATCCAAGAAGTTTCGCTTTTTAGTAACAGGGGACGAGTCTTGGTTTCAATATGCAACAGAAGCCAAAATCATGTGGATCCCGAAGGATGAAAATCCGCAAACATTCCCGAAGAAAAAAATTGACACACCAATGATTATGGTGTCGGTTTTTTGGGGCGTGAATGGCATCATCGCAATTGATATTCTTCAAAAACCTAATACGATGAATGCTCAGTATCTAATTGACAATGTTCTTACTCAAATTATCAATTCTGATGAGTTTGAGAAATCCAAACAACAAAAACAAAAGTTTGCAATTCATTTTGATAATTCAAGAGTTCACAAAAGTCATAAGGTAATGAATTACTTGGTGGAAAACAATGTCAAAGTTGTTCCAAACCCAATTTATTCACCTGATATTGCACCCTCTGACTTTTATTTATTCGGCACGCTAAAAAAGAGAGCTGAAGGACGCGAATTCGCGAGTCCAGATGATCTTGAAAATTTTGTAAGAGAGCAATTTGAGCAATTTTCTCATGATGATTTAAAGCGTGTCTTTCAAGCCTGGATCGATCGCTGCGAACGCGTGATTGAATCCAATGGTGATTATATTTAAATAAACTTTATATATATGTAACTTGTTTATTTCTATTCGCAGTATTCAGGTTTGTGCTAAACACACCTTTGAACACCCTATATCAAATTTGTAAGTAAGGGGAAAAAAAGTAAGAAAGAAAAAAAATTTAAAAAATAAAAAGCCACTCGCTTCGCTCGCGGTTGACAAAAAGAACAAATTCGAAAAATAATTGTATGAAATTACGAAACTAAGCCACTCGCTTCGCTCGCGGCTTAAGAAAAGAACAGATTCGAAAAAAGATTGTACGAAATTACGAAACTAAGCCGCTTGCTTCGCTCGCGGCTTAAGTAAACAACATATTTCAGATTATCGATACTAAAAATTTTTTTATTTTATTACATTTTTTTGCTTTTTTTTAAAGCTTCTTAACTTAAATCATGGAATGTCTCAAAGACAAAAGTAGCATACAGCATGTAAAGCTAAAGAAAGATAATCATAATTAATATCTTAATTTTTAATATTACGCATTTTTAGGTGCAAAATTTAAAAACATTCTAATACAATAGAGCAGTTTCCAAAAGTAGCATACAGCATGCAAAGCTAAAGAAAGATAATCATAATTAATATCTTAATTTTTAATATTACGCATTTTTAGGTGCAAAATTTAAAAACATTCTAATACAATAGAGCAGTTTCCAAAAGTAGCATACAGCATGCAAAGCTAAAGAAAGATAATCATAATTAATATCTTAATTTTTAATATTACGCATTTTTAGGTGCAAAATTTAAAAACATTCTAATACAATAGAGCAGTTTCCAAAAGTAGCATACAGCATGCAAAGCTAAAGAAAGATAATCATAATTAATACCTTTAAAGTTTAAAATCTTGATTTTTTTTAAAATCAAATATTTATAACTTTAATACATACAGCTTAAACCTTATACTTGTTTTCTCTTGTGAGAAAGCAATCTTACAAAGCTAACAATCCTAAAAAATAAAGAATTAAAATTTAATAATTTAATCTAAAATTAAAATCAAAATTAAATAAAATGAGTTCTTTGTAATAATACTTTCAAGGTAGGATATATTTTAGTGGGATCTATTGAGTCATCACTAACAGCATTGAGCAATCTATTGAGCATTGAAATACTCTCGATTTTTCTTTGTCTTTTTACATCAATTTCTGCGTTAGTTGCTTTTTCCATGATCCTAATGACACGGTCATCTGCTGGATTTTGATCAATTTTGAGTTTGATAACGAAAGATGGTATCACTTTTGTATAAATTTCTATAATAACATCATCAATTCTGAGATTTTTTCGATCAGGAAAATAGTCATGTTTGAGTGTTCTAAAATGAGCTTCGGCAATATTGTTAGTTGCGTCGCCTTCACGCCTGTCACGAGCAATCCATCTTGATATGTTGTAACGCCATTGTCTGTTAAAGTATTGAGATGCTGTTGGATCTGTGTCGAGCAACTCCAGAACTTGATCATAGGCAGCATTTGCTTCTTCCTCATGTTCTGCATCTAATTTGAAGACTAAATCCTTCATCAAATTATAGAATTGTTCAAATTTTTCTTGAGAAGAAAACTTATTTGATTTGCGAAGAATTGCACGAAGAACATGTACTCCGCACCAAAGTATTTGAGCTTGTGGAATGCTTTCTTCTATTGCTTGAGCTATCTGTGGAGCACAGTCCATGCTAATGTATTCTGGCTCAATTGTTACCCATCTGAGATAGGCGCACACGCAAACTTGAATGTTTTGATAAGTGTCTGGTTGACAAAAGAAATATAAAAAAGGGAAAATGTGAAAATCTTTGATTTTGCCAGTAAATGCATACAATGGAATGTTTGATCGCAACAATTTATAGGTGCTGTCTATATGAAATGTCTTGATACTATGCGCATAAGCTTTGCCTTCAAAAGGCGCGTAATAGAAACACATATTATTGTCTGAGACTTCAAATGCAATGAGATCATCTGGAGATTCTTCTTGTACTGTCTGAACAAAGATTTGCAATGACACAACATCGTCAGGAGAATATCTAGTTTGAAGAGCATGTATTCTCTCTGCAAATCGTTTGATTGCACGTGGTTTTTGAGCGTACATCTCTGGAATGGACGGACCTGTAAGAGGAATTTCAAGATCTTTGAATGCATTTAGCTGTGCTATCGCTCTTTGATTGTCATCTGTTTGGAAGTAATGTTCTAAATATTTGCGATAAAAAACAGACGAATATTGACTTTTGTCATTTGGGGCGGAATGATCATGTTCTTCAACTATTTTGATTAGTTTGTATTTATTTTGATCCAAGATTGCAACATTAAAATGTGCAAGACATTTTGGATATTTGCAGTGGAATGAAATCTGAGATCTTTCTTTCCTGACACGTTCACCATATCCATACTGTGCTTGTATTTCTTGTTTAACTCCAAATTTACAAAAATCCATAACAGTAAAGATAGTTTCTTCTTCTAATTCCATTTGAAATTGAAATGAAAATTAAAAATTCAGAAATTTGAATAGATTTGGTCTGTAATTAAATGAGAATAGCAGTTTGTTCGTCATTGTTTGAGGCAAGAGTATTATAGGAATATTATATGATGGATTTGAGTTGCATATAAAGAGTGCAAAAGGATAAAGAGAGAAATTTTGTTAGATTAAATTATTAAATTTTAATTCTTTATTTTTTAGGATTGTTAGCTTTGTAAGATTGCTTTCTCACAAGAGAAAACAAGTATAAGGTTTAAGCTGTATGTATTAAAGTTATAAATATTTGATTTTAAAAAAAATCAAGATTTTAAACTTTAAAGGTATTAATTATGATTATCTTTCTTTAGCTTTGCATGCTGTATGCTACTTTTGGAAACTGCTCTATTGTATTAGAATGTTTTTAAATTTTGCACCTAAAAATGCGTAATATTAAAAATTAAGATATTAATTATGATTATCTTTCTTTAGCTTTACATGCTGTATGCTACTTTTGTCTTTGAGACATTCCATGATTTAAGTTAAGAAGCTAAATTCTGAAGTTTACATGATCCTCTCGTGTGCACCCTTAAAAAATGCAAAAAAAATTGAATACTTTACTGGCTCGGCAAATTTGTCGCCGCCCCCTTTTGAATACCTTTGATCTTTTTATTTCCTTTTTCCTGAATTGTTTTCATTTGATCTGAAGATGCATTCAAAAAAGATGGCCTGTTAAGTGGATCATCCAGATCAAGTTTTTTGTCGCATTCAATTTGAGCCATTTTCGGATCACCCCCTGTTTTATAAAATTAATAAGTACCCGACGATAGCATTGTGATAATGTGTGGTATTTCTTTGTCTCATCTTTGATTTGATTGTGATTATGTGTTCCATTATATTCTGTTAGGATATATTCTTCATCATCCTTTAGAAATGAGATACATGCTTCACATTTATCTGCACTGCACCTGAATTTTAATTTTGTTCCCCCTAAATTTGGATTTTTTTTAATTGATATGGACAACCTGCATGGCATTCGTTATCAATGACAGCTTTCATAGCATCTATATAAGATAGCCTTTCTTTAAGTTCGCATGGTGCATCGATATGCATCAAAAAAATGAAATGAAATTTCAATATCAAAAAAAGCACAAAATTTGAAAAAATTCACAAATCTCGGTTTCTGAAAGAAAATGGCCTCTTAAACTTTGTGCATATATTCATCTATAAGACACATTGTATCCATATATTATTTAGCCAACACAACTTATCTGGTATCGAGAAAATTCAAAAAAAGCACAAAATTTGAAAAAATTCACAAATCTCGGTTTCTGAAAGAAAATGGCCTCTTAAACTTTGTGCATATATTCATCTATAAGACACATTGTATCCATATATTATTTAGCCAACACAACTTATCTGGTATCGAGAAAATTCAAAAAAAGCACAAAATTTGAAAATTGCTCGGTTCTACATTCAAAATAAATTTCATTAATTTTTACGTACATATTAAGGTACTTATCTTCTACATATATAATCTTCATTAGATATATACATGATAAATAAAATTCATAAAACATTAAAAATCAAAAAATTAGATGAACCTTGGCAATTAAACTTTATTAAATAATAGTTGTTTATAAATTATATTATATTATCATTTAATATTATTTTGATAATGAAGATTTTATTTTGCAATAATATAAACGAAATTTTTTACCTTATGAATTTTTGATGGAAATATGCAAATTTAAAATAATAAAGAAAGCCGCGAGCGAAGCGATCGGCTTAGTTCGAAGATTTTGATTCAAATCTTTGCTTATATTCCTTAAATTCTTTATGAAACTCGCAACAGTTCCATAAAAAATTTTAAATTCTAAACTGTCGAAATTACCGATCGGTAATCACACCCTTCACGGGTGTGTCACTTTTTACAAGTGTGTCACTTTTAGCTAAAATTACCCCGACTCGCAGTTAAATACTTAGTCACTTTTTGCTTCAATTCATTTATTTCATGAAAAGTTGATAAAGTTTCATATCTGAATGAGTTCTAAACAAATGTGTTCAAAATTCATGATTTCTTTTTGAGTAATACAATTCTCAATAATTCAATAGGTGTAAAATCTTATTAAATAATGATATCTTTGTTATTCCTTATCTTATATCAATTTTCGTCCAAGACACGTAATGATTCAGACGATGACACATGGGGTAATAGAAACCGTGATTCACAAAATCAATTTTTCCAATTAGAAATTCCACAAAATGCATTTGTTTTTATCTTTTTATGCTTCTTGTTATTCTTGGTTGCAATTCTTTTATACCTCTGCTATGGTACCTCCCTTTGCTGATGCATTCTCGGAAGACGTCATGACTACGAATTCGGTCTTCAAGTTGATACAGAAGCAGAAAAAGCAACGAAAACAGAAGATGAAGAAGAAAATGATTATATGCATGAGTCAACATTAACCTGCGCAAAAGTAATGCCAATGCCATAAATCAGCATCAAAACATTAATTGCAACGAACCACTGGAAACAGGCCATATATATTGTTTTAATAATGGTTTAACCCTAATTATGTTTCATTATAATGGATTTACATTTGAGTACAAATGTAAGAGATGCTATTTGCATTTCACTCGCCCAAAGGCATTTTTTGGTGCTTTATAGCGATTTTACCATAAAATCTATTCGTCTAATGCTACATTTGAATCTGGCAAATAACTTCTTTTGTCAGAAGATGAATAGTGATATATTATGTGATGTAATAAACTTGTTTGTATGTAATAACTTAAAATTTACTCCGAAATTTAATAGTTAACATTTCATGTTTATATTGATGAATAAAGCCACATTAAAGTGAGATGATTTCGAATTTCATAGCTAAGTGTAGTCAAGTAGTTGAATGGTTCGAGTAACTACCAATTCTCAAATCAGAAAATATATTTCTCATATGAATAGTGTTCCATATTAAGTTCTGTCAAAATGTAAGCTATTCAATTCTATCGTCAGGGAAAGTATCACAAATCTATCAATTTTTTGTAAAAGTATACAAAAACATATGGTGTTCAATTAGTTTATAATAATATAAATATTAAGATTATCCAAAATAAGAAAAACTAGGTTTTGAGAACACTTTTGAGATGATAATCAAAATATTTTGATTGAAAAATAATATATTATTTATCAGATATAGAATGGATTTTTTCAAAATTAAAAATTCTGAAAAATAAATAGTTTTGTAAAGTAAAAAAATGAACGAAAACTCGAGACCTCGTATTCCAAATGAATGGGTAAGATATATGTATGAAAAACTTGAAAGTGGTGAGTTAACTTACGCAACAGTTTTGAAAAAAGTTCCATATTCTTATCAAAATGTTACAATTTTCAAACAAATTTCAAGAAATACTCTCAAAAAAGCATTCAAAGAAATCGGTGGTACACCAAAAATTAAAAGTGGTCCTCCACAAGAGGAATTAACTCCAGAATTAATTTTGAAGGTTCAGAATTCTTATGAAAATTACAAATGTGGGGTTCAAAAATTGTATTGGACTCTCAATATGAATCCAAAACAATTTCAAATCAGTTACAATGCAGTTATTAAGGCAGCAAAATTTCTGGGAATTTACAAAGAAAAAGATAAAAGTAATCCAAAAGCATATTATGTGGATTATGAAGCAATTCTTCCAAATACAATCTGGCATGTGGATATTCATTTTTTGAAAGAACCAGAAACTTTACCGGTTTATGGAATAATTGATGACAAAAGTCGTTATTTGTTAGCATTGAAATTGCTTCGTAACAAAAGTTCAACAGAAACTTCAAAAGTGGCAATTGCAACAGTTCAAAAATATGGAGCACCTTTCTGTTTCTGGTCAGATAACGGTAAAGAAAATGAGGGAGAGTTCACAAAATTTTTGAGTACTTATGACATTCAAATCAGAAAATCAGCTCCATACATGCCACGTCAAAATGGCAAAATTGAACGCCTCTGGCCATCACTGGACAAAAATGCTCCAAAGTCTTCAGAATTTGAGAGCATCAATCAGGAATTGGAAGAATTCAGGCAAAAATACAATGACATGCCACATGGCGCTCATCCAAAAATTGGAGTTCGACCATACACTCCAAGAGAGGTTTACAACAAATTTAAGAAATGGACCAAGGATGATAAACCGCTCTGGAAAAAATGTGTTAATAAGCAGTGGGAAGTTGAAGAGATTCCAAACTATTGAAATATTCTATATTTTTTCAAAAATTCTCATTCAAATTTGAATTTGGTTTTCAAAATTATGAATAAACATTATTTTTATTAAACTTGATTTTTAGCTCTAAAGAATCAAAAGAATTTAGCGAGAAAGAATATGCAGCTCACATAGGGGTAGATAAAGATATATCTCGAAAAAAATTGAATTTATTGTAAAGAATGAAGAAGTTCATTTTAAGATTGAGTTGATTTTCAACCAAAACGAGAGAGCATGCAGGCAAATGAAATTCGAAAAGTGAAAGGAATGACATATGCAAAAGAAAAGATTCAAATAACGCAAGCGAAATATAGATCAGTTAAAATCACAATAAAATTTCGATCTTTTCTACAGGGAACTAAAGGCTATGAGGCACTAATATATAATCAGTGCCTCATAGCCTTTAGTTCCCTACTAAAAGTGAGAAAACTTGTTCGCAATGCGAAATGATTGCGAACAAGTTTTCTCACTTCAGCGAGGGAATTGTTCCTTATGATGCATACATTATAAATATATACATCATAAGGAACAATTCCCTCTAGATAGCTGGGAAACTTTCTCTAAATAACTTATCATTTGGAGAAAGTTTCCCAGCTATCTACTGGGAACTAAAGGCTATGAGGCACTAATATATAATCAGTGCCTCATAGCCTTTAGTTTGTTATTAAAAACGAGAAAACTTGTTCGAAATGATAAACAATTTCGAACAAGTTTTCTCGTTTTAAGGAGGGAATTGTTCCTTATTATGCATACATTATAAATATATACATCATAAGGAACAATTCCCTCTAGATAGCTAGGAAACCCTAAATTAACTATTAATCTTTGAGATATTTTTTATTGAGGTTAATACGTTTTTCTAAATAATTAAAATGTAAAATTTTGATTATGAACTCATCTCTAATATTTTGGCTCTTTAATATATTTGAATCATGATCTTTGAGAAGAGTTCTCAAAAGTATTCACAAAAGCTATTTTTCCTTGAAATTTAAAAATCCTGTTTATCATATATTACCGAATTCAATTCCCTACATATTTCAAAATATTCTATGATCATTTCAATTTTTGAAAAAAACATATTTTTTCCAAATATATTTATTATCATATTTCTAATAATATTTCCTAAAGCGTCACTTTTTACTTCCTCGACGATTATTTCTCTCTCAAAGAATTCAATAGCTTACATTTTGACAGAACTTAATATGTAACAATATTAAGGGTGGCTTCCGACCAAATTGTCACTTTTTAGCCCAAGTGAGAAAATTTCGTAATTTATAACCAAGTTTTTTAAAATCTATATTTAATAAAGATTCTATTTTTCTTATTAAATTTCAAAAATGAGGGGGTTCGGAATCGTCCACAAATTGCCGAAAGGGTTTTTGCCAGTTTTGAATCCGCTTATTTTTATCGACCAAAATTATAATAAATACAATTTTCGATAAGTATTCTACCCAAATGATTCTTCAAAAAATTATTTTTCGGATTTTATTCCGTAAAAAAACGTTACAGAAAACGCCTAGAAAATTTCGAATTTTCCCTAAAAAATTCAGTGCAGGTCGATTTAAGAGATTTTTCAAAAATAATCATATCAGTAGATAGGGTATAATATAGAGGAGCTTTATGAATAACTCAAAATCCGGGAAACTCAATATTCAACGAGAAAAACGCTTAACGAATCTCACTTTTGGTGTAAACATCACAAAAAATTGAGAGAGCTTTCTGGTCGGAAGCCTCCCTTAAAACAGTTTTTAATTTTGAGGAGTTCAAAAAAATAATAAAAAACGCTATCCTGGGGACTCGAACCCCAAACCCTTGGATTAAGGGTGCACCCGTATGTACGTTTATTTGAGAGGAGGAGGATTACCCTCTCAATTTTGAGGGATTCGTTAGTTTATTTTCTCGATGAATATGCAATAAAATTTGATTTTTACCTTATCAATATACTTCATATAATATACACATGTTCATGTAAAAACTTTTTCCCAAAATCCTCAGGAATTAAGGGATTTTTGAATTTTAAGAATTTTTTTCGAATTTTTTCGAAAAAAAAATATTTGCAGAACAGCCTTAACGGCTAAGATTTAGGAACAATGTTAAGTATCAAAAAGAAAGGAGGTCTGATATAGACAACATATATCGTTGAAGGTTGAAAAAATCTCTAATATTTGAGCCCAAAATTTCAAATTTTAATTTTTTGAAAAAGAGGCCACCCGTATGTACGTTTAGTTGAGAGGAGGAGGATTATATTTTTGAAAGGGTGAAACATTATGAATATGTTAATTATATAATAATATGTATTATTATAAAAAAGAAAAAATAAAGCACGTTAAAAGTTTTCTTTCTTGATTTTTTACAAAATCTACTTAGAATTATGCAAAATATGACTAAATAATTATAAATTTCAAGTTAAATTTTAATTTTGATAAATAATTTAAATTTCAAAATATCAAGTTCAGTTCGACTATGTATGTAGTAATTCCTCAATAAAGTGCCAAAACCCTATTAAAATATATGAACATTTTCAACATTTTAATGTTTTTATTTAAAAATTTGTTGGAATATGAGCTTCAAACAATTATTATGTAAATAAAAATAATTAAATATATGTATTTATTCGTATTACAACCGTAGTAAGTCGATTCTTCCTTTCTTCTACTGAGGTTTGAATTTGATTTCGAATTGTAAAGAGATTCAAAGGGAAAATACTAGCGGATAAAAACTACCTCCATGAAAGGGTCAGAATGGAGTCAGGTTGTATTTTTTGATATTTTTTGCTTTTCGAGCCTAAATAGGTAGCCAAGATAATGCCTAAAAATAAGGTTCTAAATTCTGAAGTTTACATGATCCTCTCGTGTGCACCCTTAAAAGTCCAAAGCTCTATCCTGTTGAGCTAGGAAAGCTTCACGTTATTTTTGCTTTTTGTGACTATTAGATAATATGCAATTCTTGATTCGCACTTTTTCTGGCATCAATCGAATAATGATATCCTTCATGAATAACTGGCGAAAATGAAATTTTGTTTTTCTGTTTATTTTTTTATATTTTTATTTCAATGTCGAAATCTCCTCGAGTGCAAAAGCTAAATGAAGAAATTGAACAAATTAGTAACGATATTTCCGAATTAGAATTATCATTAACAAAAGATTCCGGGAATATAGAACTGGAATCGGAATTAGAAGAAGAAACGGAATTATCGTTAGAGGAAGAAGAAGATCTAGAGGAAAGTAGTGAAGATATATCATCTCAAATTATACTAAAAAGTCCAGCAAAATCAAAAATATCTGCGAAATCTCCTATAAGTTTCAAATCATCAAATTCTACTATAAAAACAGACCCGCTAAAACCAAAAAATAAGTCGCATAGCAGTATGGATATGTCTCGAAGTTTGTTTGAACGTTCAGTTAACGTAATGAAACGAAGAGCAGAAATTCGCTTAGAAATGCAAGCAGAAGCTGAAGATCCATACGATGATTACTCAGATATATTTCCTATTAGTAATCAGCTTTCAACATATAGACCTAAAGATTCTCCTTCTTTGAAACAAAGGTTTTATGAATCTACTGCTAAAAGAAAAGAATTCATTAGGAATGCACAAAAAGCCAAAGAAGATGAAGAAATGAAAGAATGCACTTTTTCACCAACAAAATTTTCAAACTATCAAATTTCTCATAAAAGTCAGAAAATATATCAACGACCATATGAATACAAGCAGCCATCTCAAAAACGCACCAAAAAGTCGTCAGATACTGTTAATAATCTTGATAACAAAGAATTCTTGTACAGACAGATGAGACACTCAAGAAAAGAGAAGATGGATGAAGAACCACCAAAGACTGTCATATCAAAAGGAACTCTTAAGCGTTTGACATCACCTAAGAAAGAAATTGAACCAGAGCCAGTAAATACAGATACTAACAATCAGCAGCACTTTACATCGGATACTATGTATAGATTACTACGTCAGAACCCCACAAAATATGAAATTTCGCGTGGCCAATACAAGCGAAAGGACGACCAAGTTTCATTTCTTACAGAAAATAGTAGAATTATTGTTGAAAATCACAAGAAAAGAGATTTTTACGAGGACTCGATAAGAAAATCAAAATTAGATGAAGAACAGAGCCTCGAGAGGCAAAAGTATAAAGAAGCAATTGAGCTTCATGATTGTACTTTCAAGCCTGATATAAAGCCAAGTAAGTACTATAAGATTTAAAGACAATTCTCACTCAAATTATATTTTGTTTGTTATAGCTTAAAAAAATGTATTGTTTTTCGATAAATTAGTTACAAAAGAAGGGTTTGTCCCTCGTTTGATTTACTGCTGTTCGACCTTCTTGACCTTGCGGGATTCGTTAAGGATTTGGATGTCGAGCTCCTGAGCCTTGTTGATGATTTCCTGATGGAGCTTGAGACCAACTTGCTTAGCAATCATGGCGCCATGTGTTGTGTTCTTTGTGATGAGCATGTCAAGGTCCTTAATTGAGCGAACGAGGACTGGGATGAAGCCATTAGGGAGCATGAATCTTGTAGCCTTATCAGAGCCAAAGCCAGCACCTGGGTGGAGTGGTGTGCCACGATATTTCCTGCGGAAGCGGGAATCGATACCGCGTGGATGGCGCCAAGCAGCATCAACACGCTTCCAGAGATCAGACTGTGGGCGATGGAATCTGTTTGTCTTCTTATGAACGATTGGTTTGTGTTCAGCTACGGCCGGCATTCGAAAGGACAAACCGTCAAGACGATAGCCCTTCAAACACCTATGTAAAGTTCAGAATTTAATTTTTAGTTGGTCTTCTGAAGGATTTTGGCAATTAAATAGTAGGAATATATACTCTTGATCATTTAAAGTGCATACGACATGTTTTCAGTTCAAAATATATTTTGGTTGTAGGAATTTTGATCCCTTTTACTGTCTCCTTCTGAAGACAATAGAAAAAACCAAAAGACTTGGTTGCATATATGTTGATGCCACTAATTCTAACTACAAATTTTTGATATTCATCGAAAAATTTATCAAAATTCCTATTTTTGTCTTGTTTAGTGAAATAATGCAGATCCCAACACTTTTGTATCGATTTGTGACCAACACAACGACAAAACATTATCCTGAATTAAATTTTACGTTGAAGGAGTTTCTTAACATTAATGATTTTCCATGTCAACTTAACTTCAATGCAAACCGAACTTAAATACACTGCAATTCTTAAAATAGAAATTCTTAAGATTTAAAAAAAATTAATACGAAATTAAAGAAATTCAAAGCTAATTAATGGCTAAACATTAGCTAGGATAGAGACTTACTAACTGTTTTATATTTACTACTCATTTAAATAAAAAAATTCTCTATAAATATATTGTATTTTTTATTTGAGAGAAAAATAAAACTATCTCGATTCTTCCACAGTTTTCTTTATATCATTTATACTAGTTATTTTTCTTTTTATAGTAATAATAACTTCTTTGCTAATATAATGTGATTAACTGTTCAATGGTGTTGTAAATCTATGTCAGCTAGGACAGCCTTCATATTCATGTCTTCGACAAATTCCAAAAAAATTTCAAAATTCAAATTTTCATGATAATTCCTTAGATTTATTCTTTCATTTTTTAAAATTTGATTTTTTTTTGGAAATTTCATTAGAGTGCGGGACAAATTTGCCAACTGTCACTTTTTCAATAACCTTAAACTACGCTTTTCTAATTTTTAAAAAATAACCTTAAATTATATTTGAAGAAATTATGTCTATGATATATGTTTTATGCTAGAATCTTGGAGTTTTCATGCACTACACAAGAGCTCCAAGGTTCCAAGAGTGAATGCTCAATAGCAATTATAGAGATGTACCTTTTCAAAATGACTTTTACTGATTAAATTTAATCAATAGAAGACATTTTGAAAAGGTACCTCTACAATTAGATATACAAGAGATTCAAAGCTTCATTTCAGATAGATTTGAAACTTTGAAACTCTTGGTAGATTTTGAGTGAATGCTGACAATCATCTTTGAGAAGGTTTTCTTAAAGAAAACCTTCTCAAAGAGGTTTCTCAGGAGCCCTGAGGCTCCCTTTCGTAATGATTGGGAGCCTTGGGGCTCCTGAGACGAAGAATGGCTTCGCCGAATCTTTGATCAGCAGAGGCCAAATGAAAAGGCCTCTGCTGATGGATTCTCAGGAGCCCTGAGGCTCCCTTTCGTAATGATTGGGAGCCTTGGGGCTCCTGCAGCAGAGTATCGCTCTGCTCCATTAATTTTTTTTAAAAAAGTGCCGTGTGGCAAATTTGTCCTGTTCCCATTTCATTATTAAAATAAATTTATCTTGAGAAATTATTAATAATTGAAAGATAACAAATAATATAAATGATCTAATTATATATAAATATCATATTTACTTCATTACATTTGAAAAAACTTTAATATTAAATATTCAATTTTTTTATTACTATCTGAGGGACATGACCACTCTTTTCATATGTAGTCAGTCAATCTTCTGCCTTGTTTTGTAGAAACTCTTCATCATAATTAACTGGTTTGGCCATTCTTTGTTTATATTCACTGAGACATTGAGATCTCTTTTGAGCCAGCTCTTTTTTACGTGTTTTATTGGAGAGTCGAGCAAGAGTTGCCTTGAATGTTTGCTTATCAACTCCTTTTATTGGTTCAACCTTGAATCCTTCGTTTAACATCATTGCTGCGACTGTATACATCTTTACTTTATCATCACAAGTAACATTAATGGCGTAACTACTCATTAAAATGAAGTGAAATTGCGTTTTAGAAATTTTAGCCAAAAGGGAAGTTCACTACTTCCCTCGAAAAAATTACATCAATTGGAAACATATAAACATTAAAAATGTAAATAATATTGATGAGAATATATGGATGTATATTAACAACAAAGCAAATAGCTTTCTATTTTGTAAAGGAAAAATATAAATTCCCATTTGATGATTATAAATGTGCACTATGATTTTCTCCTCATTTTCTAGTTTATCAATACTTTTAAGGCTCCCATAAAAAGGAATAAAAATTATTTTTATTTAAAAATGGAATAAAATCTTGTTTTATATACACAATTTCAAGTATATAAGGTGTACATGCAAATTTCAGAACGTGTTTTGCTTGTATTGTGCTATGATATGCTAATGGAAGAATTTTCGATGAAATTAATAAGTATTAGCAGGTAAAATATCTTTAATTGACATTGTCAAATGACTAGTATTGAGTGATATATACCTTATTGGAATATAATGGAAGATAGTAGTCATTTTTTAAATCGGGCTTTAAAATGTATAATGGAGGGAAACAAATCTATAACAATAATGATTTTTTGCTGATTAACTCAAGATATTTTGCTGAATTAGGAAGCTTGATTTTATATTGATTTTAATAATAGCTTTTTGTGGTTTTTATGTGATGGCATAATAACTGCTGCTGTATTTCCCGATTGGGGTCGTATTACTATTGGAATTTAGCTTAAGGGTATAGTAAACTCAAAATTCTAGAGTTTTGAGAGTGCCAATAAACTCTATAGGCCTATATATATCTATATTTTAAAGGAGAGGTTACGCCATAATATTTGATATTATAAATTAATAATTCAAAATAAAAGTAGAAAATGAAACTAATTTTGTTCTAACCTATATAAATATATCAATAATCGAAAATGATTATAGTCTGAACTATATTTTACCAGATTATCAAATATAAGAGAAATGAAATAAGGCATAAAAATATCATAGCATAATTATTGGATAAATGCATTAATAAATTATTTATATCATAATGAGAAAAAATCAAAATAAGAAAATGAGCATAATAATAATTTAATTAAAAACAAAAACAATAAATAAAATGTAATTTTCATTAATCAAAGTCATCAATGTCTTCGTCTTCTGATTCCCATTCGGACTTGAAAACTTGATAATCTCCTCCTGGTACACTCTGAATGGATTTTTTGTATTTGTTCTGTTTTTTAGAACCTTTTGTAACAGTTTTTTTGTTTCAATATCATTTTGGAGTAACAATTCTCTTCAAATGATTTGACATAATCTTCTGGAAGTGGGGGAAGATGTAATGCTTTTTGTATATCTCCGAGAAAATGCTCTGGATCATTCCATTCTAAGATTGCAACGTTAACTCTAATGTTAATGTTCTTCCAGGCTCTTGATTTGTCCAAATAGCATGCAATTTTGGAGTTAAACGCTTCATTCATGCAGGTAGATCCAATGGAAGAAACTTTGGAAACTATGGGTGTCCATTTGTGAACCCAGTCATAGAGCATGAATTGAAGTTGGATCGAATTGACACCTTTTTGCCATTCAAAGCATTTGTAATTGTGCGGTTCGCAAAAAGAATGATTGCCTACGTAATGGTAGACACAATTCTCCCACATTTTTGTACGTTTGTCAATATTTTCTTCGGCAAAACATGACCAAAGCCACATACTTAGGCTTGCATTCAGACCCCAGAAAGGTCTCTCTATTTTTTCAATCTTCTGAGTCTTGTCGTTGAAAACTTCAACTGTCTTATGAGAAGCTGAGAACTTTGTAAAATCTTATGAGATATTTTTTGATACATGACCTGGATCGAATCTTTCAAGATGAGAGACGCCAAATTCTTTAAAGACAGAGACACTTTTGTTATCTCAGTCTTTAAAGTTAGTATACAAGTCATGGGTATGGTGGCACTGCGCACCTACTTACCCATTATATGTGAATTTGACACTTTACAAAACCATTAACGTATATTTTACAACACAAACGACAACACTAACTTAACCTTAAATATTTATAAAGCCGCCAACCACTTCACCTCACTACTGTAAAAAATAAACGTTCTCACTTACAAAAGTATTGCAACCCCTCCCATTGCTGTGCTTCACTAACGACTTCACTAACGACTTCACACGTATGAAAACATAGCACAAAAATAAATTTAGGTGAAGTGGTGAGATCTCACCTCTTTTTTCACCCTGTTGAATTCATTGCTTTATAACTCTCTTCCTTTCTCCAACTCTTCTAACTTCTTCCTAAGTTCAGCAATGTTGTCCTCATGAAGTTTAATCTTCCTTAATATACCTTCTCTATCTAATGGTTGCTTTATCTTTCTAAACTGAACTCTACCATCCTTCATAGTATGAATGTAAAAACCTTCTGGAATAGTTCCTGATTTAATGTATTCTACCAAAAACTTTTGTTTCATTGCTTCAGTGACTTTATTTGTCATTTCAATCAAATAAAAATTTTAATATTAAATAAAAAATAACATTATTTTTTCAGTAAGGAAACGCAGGAGTTTTACGATTTATTTGAGGAGTAGGTTCTGGTTTAAATGTTGGAGTCGGTTTAGGAGTTGACTTTTGAACAGGAGTTTGTACTTCCATAGGTTCAGGAGTCATTGAAGGTTTTGCTTGTGAAGGCGTTGGTTTTGGCGAAGGTGTTGGAGTTTGTTTAACTTCAGCTACTTCAGTATTATTTACAACATTTGCTTTATTTCTTTTCAACATCATAACTGCTCCTGCTGTAGCTAGCAAACCTAGTGGGAGACCATATCTTATATAAGGACTTGACCAAATGCTATTTTTGACAGGAGCTGGTGGAACACCTAACCTTGGTGAGACTGCTCTTTGCCATTGTGCAGCTCGTAAGAAATATTCAATAGGTGCTCCATAATCGTTTGGTAAAGTTTGTTTCATAGATGGTGAAGGTTCACGAGAGCTTGATGAAGAACTCATTTATAAGCTTTAAAATAAACGTTCATCCTTTATTCCTCACTGTCGTCCGTAGCTAAGTTATAGTCATCTAATCTTATTATGGGGATGCCATTAGCACGCACCTGAATGGCAAAGCAACAATCCCTCATAAATCCAATAAGTGGCTTTGGTACATTTTCAGTTGCTAGTTCAATAGGTCCTTTAACAGACAATTTGTATGTTATTGGAGCAGTAGATGTTTGACCTTGCTGGAAGCAAAAGTCCACTTCTGTTGGAAAACCACATAAGAAATGTGTGTTGTCATAGCTATCCCATTTATGTTCCACACTACCATCATCCACCAATGACCTCATAACATCTTCATTAAATCCTATCATATCATTGTTTGTATTGCAAGCGTTTGCAACCATTTCATAAAATACAGGTCCATATGATTTTTCAGGTTCTGCAGGCATATTTCCATAAGCTCCCATGGAAAGCTGAAGATATTTAAACTTAGGGTTCTCAAAATTAACATAATAGTTGTCTTTCTTTCTAAATAGTGCCCAAATACTTTTAACATTAATAGGCGTATAAGCTACTGTAAATGTTGCACTTGAACTATCTGTATTCTTTGAGAATGAACCGTCCATAGGAATCCAATCCATAACTTTAACAGGAAAACATAAAGCCTCGTTTGTATAATGTTCTACAAGTTCTGTATAAATGTTAGGGTCTAAAGAGAATGACTTTGGATGAATGAAACATTCATTAAAATCCATCTTTGTTCGAAATAGTTGCTGGGTTACAGTTGTAATAGTAACTGTTCCACTAGCTTCTACTGCCTTCGTTATCATAGTGAATGGTTCATTCCATGGAACAAATTTATTTGTCGGTGGATTTGAATCTGAAGCAAATGCAACTTTAAGAGTTGGATTGAAAGCAATGATATCATTTACAGATATAGATGTGCATTGTAAGGCGTCGCTACTGAACTTTACTTTAAGCTGAATGTTTCCTGCAAAAGCTGGAATAAATCGAATAGCTTCTAATGGAAGGAATCTTCTAACAGGAATTCTTAAACGAAGCTTAAAATCAAATGATTTTCCTGCTGTAATTGGACTACTAACAATTTGTCCTGTTCTGCATGTTCCCGAATGACTCCATACATCTTCATGTCGAGTCTTTGAGAAAACATCTACTTTCTTTATTTGTTCGGTAGTTTGTGAGTTTGAAGTTATATATGCTTCTTCTCTTGCGTTGTCTTGAGAATATACGATACGACCATTTGCAAGGATTTGATATCCAGCAACTGCATAGAAAGCATCATCGAAACCAATCCAAAATCCTGGTGGGTTTGTTTTATTGGAACCTGAACCAATTTCTTTATCTACAATAAATTGACCTTCCATTTTATACGTAATGAATGTATTGTAAAGGTCCAACATATTTTCACCAGGAGGTGAGAGATTGAATGTTACCCATGTGTTATCTTTAGCAGTTCCAGGTTGTGATGGAATCTTTGCGTCAGAATATTTTCTATTAGCGTCACCAATTTGAACTGCATTGTCTATGATATCGAAATATGAGCGAATCTGATGAATATGCTCTGCTGGAGTAAATTCGTTTAGCTGTTCGTTCTGCATGTATTTTCTTCAGATAAAAATATCTATTTACTTCATTATTCTCACTCTTCTTCTTGGCATTCGTGGTGGAAGTTGTTTCTTGACATTTTCAATGAACTGTACATTCTCTTTTGTCTCAACTTCTTTCACTGGCGGGTCAGGATTCTTTGACTCGGTTTGTTTTTCAATGAAATTCACGAACTTTGCAATAAGCTCTTGGTTCGTTATTGAAAGTACATCTGGCTTCTTTTCTTCTTGTTCTTTTGGTGGCTCAGTTTGAACAGAAGGTTTTATATGGGCTTCGTGGACTTCACCCTCGGTGCCATACACCTTAATGTTGTCGCTCTCTGCATTCGCTAATGGAACCTTTCTTTTTCTTACGTATATTTTACCATCTTTACTCTGACTTACGTAATAGAAAGGATGTTGTATT